GGTAACCAGTCTATCACAGGGCTACACTTAGAGACAGACAACCAAGCACACTCACATTCACACCTACAGACAATTTAGACTCACCAATTATCCTCAACTGTGTGGGAGGAAGCCGGAGAACCCGGAGAGAACCCACGCAGAAAGATCTCAGGTGTCCTCACCAGGACGCGAACCGGTGACCTTCTTGCTGCGAGGCAACGGTGTTAACCACTGCTCCACCTTGCAGCCCGGCACCAAAATCATTTAAATTAATTGGAGAGTTCTCCCTTTATGAAGTAAAACAGCTAAGAAGTCAAACCCTTCGTGTACCCGACACTGCAAACGCCAAAATTATTTATTCCAGTTTTGGTAATTAATTGTCGGTTAGCAAATTTAACGAAAAACAAAAATTGGCTACATTATGGAGTTCAAATCAATGAGTCCTTTTTGCTTTCATACATTTTAAAATATGAATTTATATTGTGTTGGACGTTTGTCGAGGTTTAATAGAAGCAAATGTCACTGTGTTGGTTAAAAAATGGTAACTGTGAGCTGATGGGTGGCTCAGGGTTGGCATGGTCCACACAGACAATCACAAAAAGCTACGTACCCACCCATAGAACTGGAATTAAATCCAACAACTATTATTTTTCTGGCAGACTTTTTGTGCAGAACCTTTTCATTTCAGGAATGTACGGAATTTTGCAAAGGGGGAAAAGAAAGAAGAGAAAAATGTGTTACTGATATAATTTGCTCAGCACTCCGAATCATGTTGGAATGAAGATGAGATCCATAAAACAACAAATGTCTCTCGTTACACTTCATCCAATCATTAGTTACGCTTATGACAGGTGACATAGAAAGCCTCATCACTGGTGTTTGCAGGGCTCATTGCTGGGACCACTTCCTTTTCCTCCCCACACACTAAACATAATTCTTATATAATCACGTCACATGGTTTTTTTTTTCCCACTGCATGCTGAAGACGCTCACTCAGTCTATTTTCCCTTCCCTCTGAAACTCAGGTGGCGTTGCAAGTGTTGCACACGGCTGGCAGATGTTGATTACTGGATGATGGCCCGCCACTTAGAGCTCATTCAAAACCAGGAGTGAGATGTTTCAGATGCCAAGAAAGAGCTGTTGTTTTATTAATCGCTCCAATTCGCTGGCAATCGTGGCTTTGTCTTGTGAAATGGAACGAGCTGAGTGATTGATTAACTGAGCGACTGGCTGATTGTCTGATTCAAATGATGAAGGGGTTTCACAATGAACTCCGCCAACGTGCGCAGTGTGAAATACTCATGTGGCGTCTAATGGCAGTTGAGAAAGAAACTTTTACTTTTTTTTTTTTTTTTTGGATCATGATCATCTTTTGTGCCACTTCAGGTGAGACAGAGCTGAAAATGAGAACACAGCCTGGTTCGGGTCAAGAGTCAAGAGTGTTCCTTTTATTGCTCTATCGCCTGAGTGTTCATCCGTTAGCAACTGGTAAACCAAAAAAATACATCTGTCACCGTGAAAGAGAGAAAACGGAGGAGGGTACGCTGGGAAATATGGAGTAATTTACAATAAAAGCAGACAGCAAAGGAGAAAAGAGGAAAATAAAAACCAGGGGGGGAGGAGGAGGAGAAGAGCAGGAAAATGGAGGATTAATGGACGGTGTGGAGGAGAGAGGCTAACGGAACGAGCGGAGGAGAAGAAATGGGTGAAGAGTGCCTTCTGTCTTTTACAGTTGCCATGGACACCAAGAAAGCTGACTTACTGCTGTGTGAACACTTTTTTTTTTTTTTCTTGAATGGAAAACACAGACCCGCAATAATCACACATTACAGCCATCATAACCACCATCATCTGCTTGTCTCTCCGCTCGCTCAACTCCCACCTCCTTAGCTGTTTAAAGAAGAATGGATTCGACGCCAACTAACTACGCCGGCGTCTGCAGATTAGATCTTTAGGACGCCTGCTAGTCTCTCATTATTACAAGGTAGGGGTCCCACCTGGGGACAGATTTACTCATATTGGCAATATCACAAATCAGGAATTTGCCTCGAGGGGCCTCTCCAATCTGTAGAGCATACACAACACCCTCTGTTCTGAGACTCTGAGGAAAAACACACAATAACAACAACAACAAAAAAAACCTTTAACAGCGCAGGGGGAAACGGAGGAACCACACCGTTTATTTGCAAGAAAGCAACAAGATAGATGCACGGCTCCTTAGAAGTTGGGTTTATCTTTGATGGGAGATGACTGCTGGGCTCTTTGTTCTCGGTGGAATAAGCATGAAAATCACCAACACAGCAAGCCCATTTATCTGCCTCTTTTTTTTCACACTCTTATCCCCGTTTTTTTTTTTTTTTTTCAGTTGTGAACTTACAAGTACCAGCATGTGGTCAGTTCTGATATATTAATACAAATATTTGCATGAGGAAATACCGCGGCCCTATTCCCTGAATGGGCATCCTCTTTGAACTTTTTTTTCTCCCCTCATTAATGATTTCTATACAGCCCCATTACATCAAAGAAGCATTTCCTATCCTCCACCAGGCAGTTTCTTTTAGAACAGTTTAGCCTTCAGTGGGCTGTATGTCTGTGGCTCAAATTGCCTATATGATGTGGTGCACAACACCCAGGTTATTATGAGCAAGTGTAATTTAATGCATCCCAACCACCACCATGCCATAATTAGTGGGCTTATCAGTCACTGAAATGGACTCAGTGGAGGGGGATTGTGTTCCTGTGCCTACCTACAGGAGTGACAGCACAACAATGCACTAATAGAAATATTGGCATTGATTGGCCCATGAGGAATATGCGGGGCTGTTGATTATACTTATGCTCTGAGCGCCTCGGAAACGATTAGAAATAATAGAAAATGAAGACAGGAAGACGAATTAACCTCCTTCTCCCTGCGTGCATGAGCTTGCTCCTTTAATTAGTTCGGCAAAAAAACAAGTAATGGATGTCACTGCTGCGGCTGTCTTGGCAGGACTGCGACGTGGAGAGAGCAGTGAGGAGACAGAAAAAAAAAAACTTCTCTCAGCTGTGACAGGAATTGATGGTTGAATAGACTGACACAGAGTCATGTATGACATATTATACGGTTGGCTTATGAGTGAGTAATTTCGCTTGTTCCATCTCCAAATGTAAAGTGAAGCGAAAAGGGGGAGGAAAAGAAAAAAAAACCTGTCATCCTCTGATTGGCCATGTGCAGGCACGTAAAACCACACCAGGCTCGTAGGAACGGAGAAGTAACAGAGGGTTTGCTACAGGTAGCAGTGCTTTGAAATGCACATATTCCCTCCTTAGACGTCTTGCAAAGTGCTGCTTAACTTTCTTTCTTTTTTTTTTCTTCATGCGTAAAGATAAGGCGTCGCGCACAACGGAGCGCCGTGCGCAAAGATCGCGCTGCTCGTAACGCACACATCTCCAGCACGTTGGACAGCGCACGGCGCCGCAGAGGCGGTGCGTGGATTCAACCGGTGGCTTTTTCAAGCAGAGCAGCAGAGTGAGAGGAGCCGTTCCCCTGAATGTTACGTAAAATAAAACTCTTCCTGCTCCACACGTGCGACAGGTTTTCTTATCCTCCCTCCCGTGGATCACTTGGATTACTGTTCTTTTGTTCTTTTTTTTTAATACCGAGGGTCTCCGCCGTGTGGTGAAGGCGTGCCCGCCGCCTGCCTGACTTCCAGAAGCCGAGCCGAGCAGCGTGGAAATAGCTGGGTGCCTGCGAGGCGGAGCGGAGCGGTGCGGTGGTGCCTAAAAGAGACCCTCCATTTATAAGGATGCTGGTGGTGGGAAATGCCTGGAGACAGAGATGACGAGATTTGTCAAAAGGCACTGGAACTCCTGTCAGATCTTTGCTCGAAGGGGGAAGTGCAGAACGAAAACTGTCTGGATTTTATCTACTATTTCCGAGACCTCGCCAGGCCACGGTACACGGATTCAGGTGAGGCGTCACTTTGCACGCTTGATTGAACGCTTTCATTGAATTGGAGTGAAGCGCATGTGACTTCTCCTACAGAACACCCAGAGCCTCAAACGCACAGAGAGGGGCCCGAGGTTTGCTAGAGTGACCAGAATCATATGTTTGGGAATTCAAGCTGAACCATTTGTCCTGCTTTCCCCCCCTATTTATTAAGTCCAGCTCTCTTCAGGGGGGTCTGTTTCTTATGTCAAGCCACATTAACACAAGGTTGACAATTAGGCAAGATGCAAAAAATGATGGTATGAGTCCAGTTCATTGTGGGTACATGTGCACAGACATGGTGTAGTCACAGAATGACACTCATCAGATAAAGCTGGATGCTGTTCTCTTCTTGCATGAGTTGTACCTGCTCTCCACTGTCTTGGCACATTTGGCACATTTGGTGTATCCAACTTTTTTCTGAGTTTATTTCAGATAATTCCTAATCTTACCTTAAAACCCACCAAGCATTTGCTCTTCTCTGTTTTTTTTTCTATCTGTATTTCTTTGTCTAAACAAAACAAAGAGGGTATTGACCAAAAGGTGACAAATTAGTGTGACCTCAGCTTTCTTTATTCCCAACACCTCGTCCAACAGTCCTCGCTCGAGTGTCACGCGTGAATGGGTGTGCAGAGAAAGAGCGAGGCAGATAGCCTCATTTGAAGGAGAGAGAAAGCGCAGTTCCTGCAGTCCTCCACATACCTCCTCCATTCATTCTGCCGCCAGTGGTTTGCATTATTATCGATGATTATTCACCACATGAAAGCCCTTTGTGAATTCCCACTCCTTCCTCCCCCCCCTCACCCACCCACCCGCCCACCCTTGCTGTCACTCTCTGCATCCCTTTTCTTCCCAACCTCTTCCTCAATATTTCTTCCATTCGCCAGCTGTCCCAGCTCTCCCCTCTCTCTACCTCAGTGTCAAAAGTGGAATTATGGGAGCAGGCAGAAGGGCTCGGGATCAGGACGGTTTGCATTTAAGGTTTAATTTCACTTCTGGCTGGCAGAAGTGAAATTCTGTGATGGCAGCAGCAGGAGATGAAAGAGAGCGGGGCAGGCCACCCTTTCATACAGATTTCAAGGTGGACTGGTGGGGTTCAGGGATTTGACTGCAACTTTTGTGGTTCTATAAATGGTTTTAACAATGTTGACTCGCAACCTGCTCCAAAAGTTATTAACGGTGGACGTGTATTTAGACAAAAGATGATCAACGAACAAGTATCTGGAACACAGAGATATGACTGTAGAGATCCTTTCTTTGCTCCTGAGTTGATAGACAACTGATGTAACACGTACTTCATCTTTTAAAGGAATAGTTAGACATCTCGAGGAGTCGTCTTCCTGAGAGTTACACGAGAAGATCAATACCACTCTCATATCTGTCCAGCTGAAGCCGGCAGCCAGATTAGCTAGCTCAGCACAAAGACAGCAAACAGTGGGAAACCACTAGCCTTGCTCTTTCCAAGGTGTAAAAACAAAAAAGTTGGGGTTTTATGGAGGTTATGGACTATTGCTTGTCCATACTTTTAGTCTATGTCATGGAAACAATGACATGAAATGCAACTCGTCCAACACATTACGCCACAACTTGTGATTTCTACAAGTAAGTTTCAAAAAACAGGATTTTTTGTGTTAATTAATAAGCTTTAGAGGTGCTGGTATGTAGATTTACTTATCTTGGGATAGATTCATTGTAGTTGTTCCCTCATGTTTTTTATGTTAAAATAAACCAACCAGCTACTGGGACTGGCTTCGAATTTAACTGACAGACATGAGAACAGTTTTCTCATCTAACAGTCAGAAAGAAAGCAAATGAGCATTTATCCATCATCTATACACCACTTAATCCTCACTGGGGTCGCGGGAGTCCATCCCAGCTGACAGGTCGCCACAGAGACAACCAAGCAGACTGTGGGAGGAAGCCGGCGAACCCAGAGAGAACCCACGCTGCTGCACGGGGAGAACATGCAGAAAGATCCCAGGCATCCTAACCGGGACGTGAACCGGTGATCTTCTAGCTGAGAGGCGGCGGTGCTAACTCTGAGCCATGTTTCCAAAAACAAGTCTTCCTCTAAGGCCCAGCGTGTGCACAGCGTTTAGTCGTGGTTCTCCGAGCAGTACCCAAACTGCTGCTGTTTTTAATTGTAGCTGTTTAATTAGTTAGGGATGGGTCATCAGGTCCAAGCAGCTAGATTCTTGCAGATAACAACCAGCAGCTGTCGAGGCGCCGCAGACACTCACACGTCTCACACATTATGTTGTGTCTGGATATTAACTAATAACTAACTAGGGGGGGAAAAAATTAACCAGCTTCTACAGAGAGGTCTGCTTCAGGAAAACAACAACATCTCAGAGGTAGAAGTTGGATATTGCTTTTTCAGCACTTGTTTGCCTCCTACACTATTGCACCTTTGAAGGTCCTGTGCTCTAAAATTGGTCCATCCTCTTTGTTGTGATGCAGTCTCTGAATCCCTCCAGATGTCTATAGATTGTTCTCCACCAGGCAGCACTCGGGCAACCTGCCAAACTGATTGTGGGCTCAGTGTCCTCAGAGGCACGTCTCTCGGTTTCTCCGCATTATTCTTCCAAATTACACGTACTCTGGTATTCGCAGAGTTTGCGCGGCACAGAAAGGACAGTTGGTCCGAGTTCCTGTGCGAGGTCTTGTGACGGCGCCCACACACAGAGCTGGCCCTGCATCAGGCAGTGCTGTTGGATTTGGAGGACGGGTTGCCTTACCTACAGCATAAAGAGCCAAAACTATTACTGCCAAGTAAGTCTTTTCAGATTGATTCAGTTTGTAAATGCTGCTGCGCCATATAGTTTCATTTTATCTCATATTCATACTGAGAGAACTGAAAAAAACCAGCACAGTCCTGCAGCACGCTTACAATTTGAGTATTAGTTTTACATCAGATGTGTGTACAACTTGCCAGAGCGTGATTCAGAAGATGATTCCTGGTTGCATAAGGTGGTCCTGTGATGTTAGTTACTCTTTGAAAAACATGTGTTCTTCTCTTCGCGAGAAATCTGTCATATCAGTCAGATGAAACACTCAGAAACAGAAAAAGCACTGAAACTGCATCCAGCTCCGTGAGTAGAAGCAGATGGGATTTCAAAAAAAAAAAAGCGTGCACATATTAAACTGCATAATTTGAAACATCAAAATCTCTTTCGGTTAATCTCTCTGTTGATCTCGTGTGCAAAACGATTTGAAAAGAAGCAAAAAATGAGGGAAGTAAATGCTCCATGAGACATAATGGTGAAATAGTTTTCCATGTTACTAAACTATGTTTCTGCAAGGGCTGCAGGGTGGCTCAGTGGTTAGCACTGTTGCCTCGCAGCAAGAAGGTTGCCGGTTCGTGTCCCGGTGGGGGAGTTTACATGTTCTGCCCGTGCAGTGTGGGTTCTCTCCGGGTTCTCCAGCTTCCTCCCACACAGTCCAAAAACATGTAGCTGGCAAACGTCCCACTTGTGGATCTATACCTGCACAAGCCATAAGATCCCCCCCAAAAAGAGCCTAGAATTAGTCTGCTCAAATAAAATAAATGTTAAAATTATAAATTTATAAAGGAAAAATATATACAACAAATACACATTCTTAAATTTAAAAATCAGCTAAAACAGCTTTAAATGATCAAAGTATTACAAAACAAATACAAAAAAAAAAACATCACACTGGACTGAGTTGGATAATCGACCCAAAATGTTAGGAAAGGTTGCCGGTTCGTGTCCCAGTTAGGACACCCGGGATCTTTCTGTGTGGAGTCTCCATGTTCTGCAGTGTGGGTTCTCTCCGGGTTCTCCAGCTTCCTCCCACACAGTCCAAAAACATGTTGAGGTTAATTGGTGATTCTAAATTGTCTGCAGGTGTGAATGTGAGTGTGCTTGGTTGTCTGTCTCTAAGTGTAGCCCTGTGATAGACTGGTGACCTGTCCAGGTGAACCTGCCTTCACCCTGAGTCAGCTGGGATAGACTAGTGACCCTAGTGAGGATTAAGCGGTGTATAGATAATGGATGGATGGATGGATATTTCTGCAACTCAGGAGGGTATTAGTGGGAAAAGTTTCCTACTAAAAGCTGTTTCATATGGACGCCAGATACAAACATACCTGCAGTTACTTTTTTAATGCTGTTTTCTCATGACAACAAGTTAATTTATCTCGTTATCTCAAGATATCGACACTCGCTTTCTCGTGATAATGAGTTAATTATTTCGCTATCACAAGAAAATGAGCGTTGATGTGAAAACAAAAGGTTGGTTCTGTTTACCAGATATCAGGAGATGCCACTGCCAGCGGGATGCAAACTACAGGGGGGCCGGTTGGGAGCTCGGCTCCTCTCAATAAGACACGAGCTCCCCTGAAAACGTGCGTTCTGAAATCATAGGGGGTCTGTAAAATATTGACAATATGCTCTTCTTCTCGAGCATTTATGTTTTTTCTGTATATTCATCATCATAAATCATGCGTAAAATTAGGCTATTATTGATGTATGATTCATGCATGAGGGCAATTCATCACTAATTCACTTTAATAAAGATACAAGCACGTCTGCTATTCTTGCCAAGGTTTTTCTTTCTCGCCTGTGGAAACGTACATTTACTGTAAAAACCACGATGTAAAGCAGGTAACTAATGTATGAACTGTAGCACACGGGAATACAAAGGTGCACTTATTCTACATGGGAAGTGGTGTTAATAAAAAACGGTCCGTCTCACTTCCTCTCAGCAATAAAGTGGTGTTATTACTGAAATAAAAAGCAGCTCTCGCTCTGTTCTCCTTGCTGCTCCTCACGCCTCCGTGGTGCCGAAAGACGCACAGCGGCGGCTACCTTTCATCTGTTCTCGTATTCCTATTATTCTCGCTCTTATTAACAGGAAGAAGGACAAATAAAAGTTAAATCAAGCGCTTTATAGATGCTCCTGATCACAAAAGAAATGAAAAAAAAGTAATCTCTCCCGATCACAGCGTTCACAGATGG